TACTTCCCGTCTGTTTCACACGCAAGGGTGAAAATGGGAAGGTGAAAATTCCGACTCTAATCCCAACACGATCGGCCGATTTTCATTTCTGTTTCTCGACGCCTGCCGACGTTTCTTTTAATTATAAAAGATTTGAATAGAACTTATGACGGTCGTCGTGGTAACGTATCACTAAACAGATAATTATGCTTTCCGAGAAAGGAAAGATGAGGCCGACACGCGTGAGAATCAACATGCAACTATATAAATGTACTCGCGGTCCCCGGTTGTGGCATTAATGATGCGCTTAACGATGAATTAGCGCGCGAAATAATGGATACATTATCGAGGCGGACGACGAAGATTTCGATTACACAGCGGCACGGTGACGGGCTGGCATGCCGACTCGGTTAAGAGGCAAATAAGGGTGTCGAACTCACGCATTACCGGCTCTTTTATTATTCATATGCGAAAGCGAAGCGCGTGTAATGCTCGCGATGTCCGCGCACGAGACATTTCATTTCATTTGGTCGTGTGCACGCGCGGCCAAGGGAAATCGACGGTCACGCTGCCACCCTCTTGTCAAGGGGGTGGGCCAGAACCACGCGTGCGTCATTTCACGTGCAATTGTCCGAACCACCGACACACTCGTGTCCGTCCGATTGCCTGACTGTGAAATTACGCATTTCAAATTTTTAAAACACCGCTCCGAACTTTCGGTTCGTCTCGTATTCCAGGAAATTTTGTAGTGAAATTATTTTATCAACGCGCTGGTGAAACACCAGAGTTTCTGTTCTTTTCTCCGGTATTCTTCTCAATTGTGTTTCCCCTCCGTGCTTTAAAGTCAGAAATAATTACACTTGCCGTTCGATTGATTTTCACGGTGTTGTACTGTTCGTTGAATCATTTTTTTTTTTTTCTTCTTCTTCTTCTTTTTGAGGTAATGCAAGTAATTGCATCGCTGTTTAGTGGTTAATATTCGAGTTGATGTTACTACAATCACAAGAAATAAAGAAACCAAAGATCTCTGTTATCAACTTTATAGCTCGTTGATATTACTTGTGCAAGAGGAAACAGAATTTTATTTTGTTCGGGGCATCTCGTCTGGAAGAATTCCGTGGTGCTCACCACGTTAAGATGGGTGTGACCGCCGACCGCGATCGTATCGCGCGGGTTTGTTTAAATAATCGGACGTTTCGGGACCGTGGCAGGTATCTCCATGTCGGCATCTGACCAGCCAATATGTATGATAATTTCAACATGCCTATAGCTCATAATGGATCCTGAGTATGTGCGAGCTGAAGGATACGAGCATAAAAGAATCCAAGGACGTGTATATTGAACTTTAAAACTTGAACAAGTGAAAAGTGGGAATCAAAGAGCATATCTTCTGATATTCAGCTTCCCAAATTCTGCCGGTTATTGCTTTCCAAATTCTGATGGTTATTTATATTTTAAAATAAACTGTACCAGCAACTTTTCAGTCTTCGTTAATGTACGCTTTAGGCCTTTAGATTAGGCCTTTTCGGAAAATTTCTAGTAATTTCTTTTTTACTGGGTCAAGCGATTCTGTTAGTAAAGTAAAAAATAAAAATTGTTCCAAAATTATTCTTATAGGTCAGAATCATCGATTAGAAATAAAATGGATCTGATATAGAATATTTTTGTTTCACGTATCTCCTTTTGGACCTCACCTGACTCACTTGACATTTTCATGTCGGTGTCATCAATTTATAGTAATGGCTTGAATTAAAACTAGATTTTCGTGTGAAATTATATGGTATTTGATACTTAATATAATAATATAATTATGCAGAAATCAAGTACGAAATAATATATTGTACTAATTTTTTATTCATATTGTCATGCTACTGGTTATAAAAGTAATTCCGGGTAAAAACTGTTTCACTTTTAATGTTCTCTGAAAAAAAATATTTCTGAAGATTCAAAGAAATGTTATTTTATTATCTGAAATTAATAATACCTTATATGAAAGGTAATGCAAAAAATAAATTAATTTGATTTCGTCTCTTTTTTTTTTAATAATGTTATATTTTATAGGCTAACATTGATATAGCTATAATAAAATGTAATTTTCTCAAATTTTTAAGTGTAATATAATTCATCAGAAATTAAATATTATATCGAACAAATGTGCTTCGATCTATCGAGTCGAATTTTCAAGTACTTTATACGTGCATTTCGGTAACTTTAGAGTTTAGGGTTTAAGTTCTAATTACGAAGAGACAATTGTAAAAGTTTTTAAATTTATCCGTTTAATTGTTAGTTTTTTTCTGTAAATAAAAATTTTTAAGCGATTCATAAGCACTAAAATTCTAGCGGCGAAATAAAAAGCTATTGCTATCCTTGTCTCACGCTATTATTCTCCAACAATATATATATCTATCTTTGTTGTACGCTTTATTGCCCTCTTTGTTTACGAATAACATACATGCTGCCATCTATTGCAATTTACCTTTCTGTTCTTTTAGTTCCAGTCGGATCTGAGAAACGTTTAGATGGCAGCACGTAGTATACATCTATAGCGATTGTGATAATTTATATTTGTATCACAATGCTATAAATAAATAAATAAATAAATAACTCCGTAATTGATTTTTGTTGTTTATATAAAAATACCAATATCACAAAATATACAATTACTAATAATTTAATGAAGTTTACATAATAGAATTTAAATGACGAAATGACGAAATAACGAAATAACGAATGACGAATAACGAATGAATGAAGATTTTCTATTATGGCTACAATATATATAAGTGGCAGTAAACATTTCCATGGTGATAATAA